AAAAAAAATCATATTTTACAAGCCTAAACAGTGACAGCGATGAAATTGGGCAGCAGAGTTTTCAGTGGGTCTAATATTTTTTGTAATTTAATGCTGCAAACCCAAGTGAAATAAATAGATGCACCTGATACTACTTTGTAGCAGTACTTCTGCATATTTGGAGACTTTAAATCATCAAAATTTTGAATTCATTGACTGATTTATTCCTAACTTTCGGCACAAGCAAGATTTTGTTCTAATGTAGGATCAAAGAGAGCTCAGATTTAAAAAGCTTACCTCATTTCGCATCATTCAGTGATTCAAAAGTTATAAATTTTAGGTGTGCAACTTGGCCCAGTGCTAGAATAATGTCGATAAGCTACCCAATTGAAATTATGAAGCTTCACATTATTAGATGATGCGAAGTGAAAGATCTAGTAAAAGGTGTAGCAGGATTTAATACAAACTGGTTTCAGGCAATTCGCCCCGCTGCACTGCACGGGCCTTTGAAATTTTTGTAGCACATTTTTGTCGCTTTTGCTGCTAAAATGCTATCCGCATTTACAGAGAGACCAAAAGCTATGGTCGAAGGTCCGATTCTGACTTTGGGTTTTTCGATTTCGTTCCTGCATAGGTTTCCCTCAGAATTTTCGTTTTCGAATTTTACCTATCTGTTATCCAGCCAGAGTTGCACACACCCACATATATATATCATTCGGATGCTATTAACTTATGATTTATGGACAAAATAAAAAGAGAAAAAACAAATTGCCCAGGCTAAGCCGTCGCTTTGTATGATGAGTCACCGTATCTGCTTCAGTAAGATTCGTGGCACTACGATGATTCCTTCTGATTCCATCAATTTCCAAAACGGACGCTTGACTTTGTGACCTGATTTTTTATAAAATAATTAAGACACCGCACAGCCATATTTTAACGCTTGTGTAAAGAGACATCTGAATTTACCGCACTGGTCCTCTCTTTGTTTCGTAAAATAAATGATTTGAAAAATAGTGCAAAAACACCTTGAGGCAATGAGCCAAGACACGCTGAAGATAAAGGACTGGTTCCGGACTCTTCACCTAGCATCCAAGATTATGAAAAATTGATTTTTGGCTTTTCGCCTGTGTGGCATCTGCCAAAAATCGAGTACCACCAGCTCAACCGTTGAAATCCCGGACTTCCAGCTGCTTCTCTTTTCTGAATTCCTTGATATGATCTTGGGTTGTGAGATCTAGGTCAGAGTACGTTTAGATGATCTAACCAATTTCCATTTCTCTCTATAGATTAAACCATTTATGATCAAGCCTGTAATATTTCTCACTCTGAAACTGCAAAATCAGTTCGTGTTCCAGGAAAAGCATTCAGACGAAGCGCAAAAAAAGCCGGTTATTTTGGTTTGAGAATCGCAAAGTACAATGATCATCATGGAGCTTCACCGTTCCGTGTAAAAAGAACAAGGCAAAGTTATATTGTTTTTTTTTTTTTAAATCGAAAACTTAAAAACAAAATGAAAAAAAGGAGAGAAAAATCGAATAAAATTGATTGAAATTCGAAAATATTGGAAGGAGTCAATGAGTTTGTTTCTTCTAAATATCTCGAATTTTCAACTGTTAAAGAGAAACAAACCTGGCCCTACTCCATGGAGTTGTTTTTAGAATATAATCCAGTGGTTTTCTTGCTTCGTCATCGCGCGGTAATGGCATCATTTGGATTTTTGCATCCTCCAATAATCTGTGGAAGACAAATTATGACAAGTAGTTACGGTATTTACCCAATCGCAGCAAAAACAACGGTGTATCAGTGCGCTTAAAGCAATCATTTCATGACTGCATTATCATTTGAATGCTCCGCCAGACGAATAGCCTGCTTGATATGTCGCTGACCAGAAGTGGACGTCGAATGCGCTGCGTGCACTCTCCTTGTAGTCATTATCCGGTCGGCAAGGTTTTCACTTTGGTGGATTAAGCTTCAAGCAGCTAACCAAAGATAAGGGCCTAATACAGCTGTGTTCGAGACTTCATTCAAATAGCCCAGAAATACTGGCTACTTTAAAAACGTTATTTTTTTTCCTATCTCTGTCTGTGCTACCTATTCATTTTCCGTAGTGCTGTGGGAGATCTAAGCTTTGTTCGTATTCCCTGAAACTATAAAAGCCAGAAGCTAACTTGACGTGTGCGGTTGAGCCCGTGACACCGCTCATGCGTCGTTCGAGCATTGCCGATTGTTGAGTATACAGAGGCTTAATAGGCTCGTCCCAAAACGGATCTTTCTTCATTGCCGGTGGTTGGTTATAGCCCTGATCCACTATTGTTAAGCCAACCTAAATTAGTTTTTAGAAAGCTTCTTAACACTCGCAAACGACTTCAGTACTGCCATGTACCGTATTCTACAGTTCCTCAAAGGACGGTAGCGTCCACTTTGAGAATCATTACCCTAAGTTTTGCAGGCTTCAGTTTATTCAGCTTCTTTCCACAAACAAAGGGCTCATATGGGAAAATAAATGCAAAGAACGAGCACATTCGAACAAACCGCAAGGTTTTTATCGAGCAAAAAGTTGCATTCGAAGTCATCATCATCCTCGCCGAACGGATTGAGTATCGCTTCGGCCACCTTTAACCAGCCCATGTAGAAAATAAATTGTAGAACAGTCATGAACGGGAAATAAACGTCCAGCTGAAATGCTCCGTTGAATCGAGTGCCTTCGTTATAGCTAACTTCTGCTACTCTGTCTTCGTCAAATTTCACATTTGTTAGAGCTGTTTTTCAAAACGCTAAGGAATAATTTGCAATTTTCTTTCTTTTCCATGAGAAATTCCTTTTGTACTATTGCATTTCACTTCATTTTGTTTCCTGTGACTTTATAACAATGGATTTTAGCCGAAGACTTACAACGGACTTGTTGGGTGCTTCCTCAGAGAGAATGTGTTGTCGCGAAAAGAAGCAAACAACAAAATAGAGGTGAACAGCAAGAACAATCAACTGCGGATACATGATCGGCAGCGGTACCCAATCAAAATTGTACAACATCGCCATATTTGTACGAAATCGCTTGATTTCCTAAGAAAATTACCGGCGAGTAAACTTATTAATAACAGCTTTGAACTATGCAGCTGATGCTTTTTTTT